CCAGAAAGATGGCAAAAAGTTGTAGAAAGTGATGGAAAATACTTTCATTGAAATAATTTAAATAGATTTTTTACAATAAATGCTTTTTCTCAGTATTTTTTGGGCGGAAACTAAGTTAAGGTCCTAATACATAGATTTAAGCAAGTCCAAGGACCGACAAAAAGCATACAGCACCACATAAGACTGACGGACACAAGACCTATAAAACAAAGATACCGACTCCGAAACTCGGCGATGCAAGCAGTGATAAATAAAGAGGTGGAGGAAATAAAGGTTAAAGGAAGGAATAATTGAGCCATCACGCAACGCGTGGAGTTCGCCGGTAGTTGTAGTTAAGAAAAAAGACGGAAAGCATAGGTTTTGTATAGATTTCTGCAAATTAAATGAAGTCACGGAGAAAGGCATACCCGCTGCCGCACATAACGGCAATGCTCGATAAGCTCCGCGGAGCGCAATACCTCTCAACTCTAGACTAGAAAAGTGGATATTGGCAAATCCCACTGTCACTCTCGAGCCGGCCGTTAACCGCATTCACCGTACCGGGGAAAGGATTGCTACAATTCAAAGTGATGCCGTTCGGCTTGCACTCCGCGCCGGCAACATTCGAGAGATTACTAGATAGAATACTCGGCCCCGAACTAGAGCCAAAGGTGCTGGTATATTTAGACGACATAATTATTATAAGCCATTTGAGGAACATATCAAACACCTCAGAGAAGTGTTTCGCCGATTACGGGACGCGAATTTAAAGATAAATAAGGACAAATGCCTGTTTTGCGTCGAGAAATTAAGATACTTAGGACATATTGTCGACAATAAGGGCATTCAAACGGACTCTGAAAAAATCAATACAATAAGAAGCTGGCCAACTTCAAATACCATTAGAAGACTAAGGCAGTTTGTAGAGTTAGTTTCTTGGTATCGAAGATTTATACCAAATTTCTCTACTTGCTGCCCCACTCACGAAGATGATGCGCAAAAACGCAAAATGGGAGTGGGGAAAAAAACAAGAAGACGCGTTCAGGAAATTAAAAACAAAATTAACAACAACACCGGCATGTCCAGATTTCACTAAAAAATTTGTCGTTCAAACCGATGTCAGTACGAAGGGATTAGGGGCGGTGCTCACACAACAATTAGAAGGCGAGGAACGGGTAATCGCGTATGCTAGCCGAACGCTGGACAGGGCAGAGCGAAATTATAGCGCAACCGAGTTGGAATGCCTCGCCGTAGTTTGGGGAATAACGCGCCTCCACGACTACCTGGAGGGATACCGATTTACGGTTATTACAGACCACCAATCCCTCCGGTTTTACCGATTACAAAAAGTGGAGGCGCCAACAGGGAGACTAGCTAGATGGATAATCGAGCTACAACAATATGATTTCGACATACAATATCGGCGAGGAAGTTTGAACACGGTCACCGACGCCCTGTCCAGGCAGCCACAGATATGTAGCATTACACCAACGTGTCAATGGTACCAAAAACTAAAATTCGAGGTGGCCGAGGAACCCAGCACGCGACCAGATTATAAAATAATAGAAGGGAAACTAATGAGACATGTGTTCCATGACCTGGATTTCAAAGAAACACGGACAGAGGAGCAATGGAAAGAATGCATACTGAATGAAAAAAGAATAGAAGTCATGAAAAGATATCATGACGAACCCACCGCCGGCCACCTGGGAATAGTGAAGACTTGTTCGCACAGCCCGGCAGTTTTACTGGCCAGGCATGTTCCGTGAAGCTCTAAATATGTCAGAACCTGTGAAAAATTCCTGGCCCACAAAGCACAGCAAGTAAGACCAGCCGGGCAGATGCACGTAACCGCGGTAGGGGGCCCATGGCAACAGGTCACCATGGATCTCATTGGCCCCTTACCGCGATCAAATAGCGTCCTGACAATGCAGGACCGATTCACAAAGTGGCTGGAAATGCGACCAATAAAGCGAGCAACGGCACATATTGTTACACAGACGTTAACCGATTCCATAATATATAGACACGGCTGTCCCCAGACTATCATCTCGGATAACAGGATACAATTAAAATCGCAATAGTTGGCGCAAATGCTGAAAACACATAAAATTAACTACTGCACCACCCCTGTCCATGCACCCCACTGCAACTTAGTAGAAAGGACCAACAGAGTGGTGAAAACCATGGTGTCCCAATACGTGGGACGGGACCACCGAAAATGGGACATCCACTTGCCGGCACTGCAATTCGCATATAATATAGCAGTTCAGGAATCAACAAGATACTCGCCCGCGTATTTAAACTACGGGCGAGAGATAGCGAGCATACCAAACAGCCACAATGCAAATGAAAACACAACATCACAACAAAGGCAACTTAGAGAAGCATACGAACTGGTAAAAATAAATATGGCTCGAGCGTACCAGCGACAAAAAAAGTATTATAATTTGAGACGACGAAACTGAAAGCCGAAAATAAACGAAAAAGTATGGAAGCGGGAATATCCATTATCAAATAAGGCGAAAGCATTCAACGCTAAACTAGCGCCGAAATACGCAGGACCGATGATGGTTAAGAAAATAATATCGCCAGTTGTCGTCGACCTGAAAGATAAAAACGGTCGACGGCACCGGCACTTACATGTACAGGATCTTAAACCGCAAAACAATAACAACAAGGAGGACGACGAGGACGAAGCAACAAGAGAAATATAAGAAAACTTCGTAAAACACAAAGCACCACTCTTCCGAACAACAGTAACCAACAAGGATGTCAAACAAGGAAGTGTACAAAATCGACGGAGTAGACATCCTCTGGACGGATTTACTCCTGTCCTCAGAGGACGATGACAATGCGGCACCTCAGTTTCATTCGCCGTCGACACCACCACCGTCGACAACATCAGTGGCCGACCAACCGCCGAGACCGACGACGACAACGACAGCACCAAGTTCGTCGCCGGCAAAAAAGCCAAAAACCGGCGAACCGCTTCCAGAGCCGACGACAAGCCCAGCAGAACCGTCGTCGGCAAAGAAACATCGAACCGAAGCACGAACAAAAACACCAACCAGGGCGCCGATACCAACGCTGCCTTCACAGGGCACCAGGATACAGCAATCGGACGCCGCGCAGAAAAGGAAGGCTATCTTCCTAACGGCTTCGCCGCCTCCACCACCAGGGCGCTGAGGACGTGCCGCCGCCACGATATCAACCGGCAAGAAATAGGCGCAAACAAAACCGACACGCCTGACAACAGGTCCACCACCAGCACCAGTATCGGTAGTACCGCCAACAACAGCGAGGACAGCGAGGCTACCCGTAGCACCGTCACCGTTAGCACCGGCAGCAACAACTCCGCCGAGGCCAAGAAAAGTGGCCTCAAAGGAAATGGCGAAGAATCTATCAAGGGCCATAACATCGGCAGAGGAGGCAACGACCCGACAACCCGAACAAGTGACGGCGGTCAGGCAACCACCAACCGAACCGTTACGCCTGATCCCGTCGTCACTACCGCCACGGATCCCGGTGGAGCTGCGTCCAGGATTAATCATAGACGTCTCGCACTATGCGATACACGTATCGAGACGACACCGGGTACGCATACCAGAAGGCAGATGGATGCTCCGTTTTAACAGAATCGGACAACTGAGGGCCTGCCAACGACTCCCCGACGATCCACCCTAAGCGGGGGGTGATGTGACGATGCACACCTGCATCGTCACTAATAGAAGCCCGACCGACCACCAGTCAGGCAGTGCACAGGCGCGTTGCGCCAAATTAAACGCCGCAAGGCTTAATATAGATAGATATAGGCAGACAATACGCGTAAACAAAATAGGCGCAACATACGATACCTAGCGACACCGATCACACAAAGCAATCGATCAAGAGCACGCGCCGCGGACACGCCACGATCACGTGCACAGCGAGCGAAGACAAAGCGGCGTCAAGTATATAATCCGCGGCGCCGAGTTAATCGGGACCAGACCGATCCGGACCGTGCTACACAGCGTCAATGCTATACAGCGGAGAGTAAGGACTACGACCGACTCGTTACTGTCTCCTCAGCCTACCTAGTTTCACATCCTCGCGAGCAAGGACCAAAGCCAGTACGTTAGCTGCGCTCTGTCGATCCTTATCGACTCTTGCTTGCATCCCGTCCACGCCTCGAACAAGGACCGAAGCCAGTACATTAGCTGCGCTCTGTCGAGCTTTCTCGACCCTTGTTCTTAACCTCTCGACGGGCGAGATCGAGAGTGAATACGCCGATACATCGACTACTCACTCCCAATCTCGTCACCTGCGAAACAGGCGTGCGAGCGAGCGCGTCTCCGCCGCGAACGCGAAAACAGCGTGTCGTGCTGTGACACGGACTCGATACCGCCGACACCGCGCGGTCTCCGCGATCGACCACGCGAGCCGCGCACGAATCGCGACCGCCGAATCGCGACACGCAACCGCCTGCCGAATATTCGAGGCGAGCCTAGCCTTTGCGCTATACGCTCCGCCTACCGTCTTAACTATCGCGACATGCCAAAACCGCGACCCGGTAACTGGCGCCGTCTCCCAGGAGGACTGTACACTAACACGCGATTACTCTGTACGAAGGCTCGATAAATCTTTTTGTTATTTTTATTTATTATCATCCGCGTCGTATTATTTCACGAACCCGGACTCCGACAAGCGACTAATTCCTTGGCACCAACAACAACCGACACGCGGAGTTCGTCTGTTACAAGGTAGGTTAGAGGTTACGTCGCGTTAGCGTATAAAGCGCTATCTGGGATAGTTTTTAGGATTTTTTAAAGAAATATTCGCGGTTGAAAATATGTATTTTCGAAAATTGCGTCAGATGTGCTTATTTCGTTCTGTATAGTCCCCTGGGAGACAATGTGTGTTTGTGTCACTCAGCTCCTTCAGCAGCACGTCCAGTATCTTGAAAATAATTTTCTAATATCCCAAAATCGCACTCGTAACGTTAAATCTATTGTAGTAGCAGTATATTTGTGTTCTCGCGCCTGCGTGGTGGTCGTATCCACCGCAGGGGTCTAAAGTCGGCCATATTATAGGTTACGTCGCGTTAGCGTATAGAGCACAATCTGGAATAGTTTTTTAGGGTTTTCTAAAGAAACATTCGCGTTTGAAAATGTGTATTTTCGAAAAATACGTCAGATATGCTTATTTCGTTCTCTATCGTCTCCTTGGTGGCAATGCGTGGTTGTGTCACTCTGCTCCCTCAGCAGCACGCTCAGTATCTTGAAAATCATTTTCCAATATACCAAAATCGCGCCCATAACATTAGATCCATCGTAGCAGTATATTCCGATTTTCGCGCATGCGCAGTGGTGCCTATCCTGCGCATGCGCCGAAAGACGATCATTTTACTGCAGATTAAATAATGTAGCGTTAGCAAAATACATTCTGGGATAGTTGTTAGAGTTTTCTAAAGTAACATTTGTGTTTGAAAAGCAGTATTTTCAAAATTGACAGAAGTTGTGCCTATTGCGTTCTGCGTCGTCTCCTGGGTGACAATGCGTGTTTGTGTCACTCCACTCTTTCAGCAATACGCCTAGAATCTGGAAAATAATTTTCCAGTATCCTAAAATCGCGCCCATAACGTTAGATCTATCGTAGCAGTATATTCTGATTCTCGCGATGCGCAGTGATACCTATTCTACGCATGGGTTGAAAGTCAGTAGTGTTACTGCAAGTTAGGTTATATAGTGTTAGCATGTGAAGAATACTCAGGTAATTTTTCACGTTATTTTCAAAAATAACGTGAACTGTGCGTACTTCGCTCTGCATCGTCTCCAGAATAACAAATAGTATTAGTGTCACTCTACTCCTTCAGTACCACTTCCGGAATCTTGAAAATAATGTGTCGATATCCCAACGTCGCGTCTATAAAGTTAGATCTATTGTATATTCCATTTCTCGCGCATGAACAGTGCTGCCTATCCTGTGCATGGGTCGAAAGTCGGTCATGTTACTGCAGGTTAGGTCATGTAGTGTTAGCATGTAAAATACATTCTGGGATAGTTTTTTAGACTGTTCTAAAGTAACTTTTGTGTTTGAAAAGCAGTATTTTCGAAACTAACGTCAGTTGTACTTATTGCGTCCTGCGTCGTCTCCTGGTTGACAATGCGTGTTTGTATCACTCCACTCCCTTAGCAACACGCCTAGAATCTTGAAAATAATTTTCCAGTATCCTAAAGTCGCACCCATAACGTTAGATCTATCGTAGCATTATATTCGAAATCTCGCGTATGCACAGTGGTACCTATCATGGACGTATAAATATCTGGACGGAGCGTTAAGTCAACTTGTTGGCCAGGAAACCGGAACTAGTGGGACGAGGGTATATTGTCTAGCGACATTTTGGCGCAGGTTTCAAATTTGACATATATAACATTACATAAGAGCAGGATGTACAGGGTATCTTAAAAATATGGTATCCTCTGAATATCTTTTTATAGTGAGATTTTTCGGTAAAACTTTCAAAACAAAAGTTGTAGGATTTCAAAATCTAAATCTGATGATGACCTTAAAATTGACCTTAAGTTTGACCTTGAAGGCAGTTTCAAGGCCAACTTTATCTTTTCAAATGGAACATGCATATTTTCATGACAAATTCGGAATTTACGCCAAAAACTGAGAAGCTTTTGTCTGAAACATTTTTTTCAGAAAATGCTCCCTTTGACCTTAAATGACCTTAAATGACCTTCAAACTTCACGGGACTAGAAGGAGGGGGATGGCAAGTTTTCTGTATGTGGGAGTAATGTGCGGGTGTTTTTGTGTGCGATTATGAGTGCATGGATAATTTGAATGTTTTTAGTAAAAATGGGCGGAATGATTGCGCTTTATATGCCGGAGAGGGAGGACATGTGTGATATGCTTCCTTCGAGTGCGTGAGTGACTTGAATGTTTTCTGCATGTCGGTGGTTGAGTACCGTGAATAATTTTAGTGTGTGTATGGAGGGTAGGGGGATGGGGAGTGTAAGTGATTTTCTTGCGTTGTGTGAATGAGAGGCACATTACTCTCAAATACAGAAAACTTGCCACCTCCCTCCCCTCCTAGTCCCGGTCAGGCACTCACCCACACATCCACTCACTCACTCATCCACATTTATTCCCTTGTGATACAAAAAGGGGAGATAAACGGACAAGAAGGGCCCCTGAAAGGTCCACAGCGTTCTACGTCTCTGAGCGCTCACTCGAAACAGTAAGAGATTAGCAGATTTAATTCATTAATATTTCGTTAACTAATTGTCGGATCTAAAAATGTAAGAGAAACTTTCAATTCCAAATTGCACCCCCTACCTACCTCTAACGGGTGTTCTA